AAAAAAGAAAATACCTCAAATTTCTCCATAATTGCAGGGAACCATGAAAAGGATGATCCAACTCACCTAAAAGACATGAAACAAGTTAATGTCAACATTGATCACCATACTCCCAAAATAAATCATACCTCTCATATTGTTAACAAGGATGCTAGTGAAAATGACAATTTGGTTACATCAAGCCCAATGTATCCTATTTTTATTGAATCAAAAGAGTTACCTAATACAACCCTAAATCAAACTGATGCCACTGAAACCTCTTTATATGAAGAGCTACTTCCAACATTTGACCCGGAAGAGGATTCATTTGAAGACACTTCACCCAATCCAAGTACTGAGTCATTGCTAGAAACGACCACCCAAGATCAGTGTGTGCAGCCCACTCAACCTCCCCCTATCATCCTTTTATTAGAAGGTGAGAATGTTTACAAACCATGAGATTTATCTAACAAAAAGTTATTGGATTCTGTAACATTAATCCTTGATTTGTCTATCATCTAATTATTCGGTCAAGTAATTTTTCTTACCATGCCCATGTTCTTCTTGGACATTTGTTCCATCCTTATTTTTCAGGTTGTCTCACTGACTCTTTCTTCCCATAATGGTCTTTTCACTCCTCCTTTTATCTTTGCACGTACCCTATTTTATCTTGTGGCTTTTGTTTGTGCATTAATGTAGGAAGAGTAGTTTGAAGAAAGAAAAATTTTTACAATGTATGTTTTAAGTTGTAATACAATTGAACGTTTTGCTTGCTGTAGTGTCATAGCTCTAGTATCATTTTTATAAAGTTTGGACTTAAAGCTTTTGCTCTTTTCGTATTCCTTGTGCACCTTCTTCAAATGCATTTTTTCATATTCCAATTCCTATATCTTGTTCATAATTAATAATTCATGCATTTAGATGGATGTATTAGGTAATGATGTACTTACCCTTAAATTTTATGATACCAAGAAAACTAATTATTATTTTGTTATTTTTTTTTTCATCTTAATAGGAGCAAAGACAGTACCAATGAGGACATTCCCTCCTGATGGAACTACTTTTGCACAAG